CTGCCACAGCGTGCTACGATGATTTTTGGAACGGTGTTGGCAGTACTGCCAGCGCTGACAAACAATTTTGGAACACAGCCTGTGTCTCCTAAAAGGAAAGCAGCCGTTACGTATATTAAAGCAAAAATGCACCCTAGAATTATCTAGGCATAATTCCTGAACGCAGCCCAATAGGCGAGTTCAAGTTCAAAGCGACTAAAGAGCCATTAGGTGCATCCAGAAGTACGACCGCTCATTGAGCTCTTGTATCTGTTTGGTCTATATTTTTCGATCTAATGGAATATGCCAATCAGATGCAAGAGCTCGCCGAGCGCTCAGTGAGCGGTCGTGCTTCTGGGGCCGCGGTCCGATACACGCTCACAACGCTTAAAAATCATTTCATCCTTGTTGTTTGTCAAATGTTAAACGAAGACAAACAATGCTCATGAGCGTTGTCAGCATGATTCGGACCACGGCCTGGATGCACCCATTTTCACCATCGTCGGTTTACTTATAGCGTTTTCGATTGGGCAAAAGGTAGTGCTCACCAGTGCGCACTCAGTTCACACCAACACTGGGGCTCTATTCTTGAAAAGAAACATATACGAAAATCTAGGGAAATGCTACAGTATACATTACGTATACTATAGTATTTCCCTAGACTTTCGTATACGTTTCTTTTCAAGAATAGAGCCCCTGGACGAGTTCCATGGGTTGCACTGAATAGTGCAAGTTCAAAAGAATACGCCAAGATTTTCAGTGCTAAAGTTGAAACTCATTTTTGTTCACTTTGAAGCAATGTTCAACAAAATGTTACAAAACCACAGTAAAAGATATTAAGAGTAGGGACAAGACCCCGTTTTTAATTCAACTGCGCAGATTTGTTTGTCCCTATGTATATCCTTAACTGTGATAAAACGTGCACTGAACTGGCACCGTCAAAATATCTCGTGCCACTTAGTGCGCACTGAGTGCGCACTACGCGAGTGTCGTGCGATCAAATGAACACGTGACACTAGCCAAGTGCGCATTGGCACTGCCAATCGAACACGCTCTTGACACTGAGTGCAGCCAGTGCACCCCAATCGAAAACGCTATTATATACTTTTATAGAACTTAGAAAATGCAGTGTTTAAACTGTAATGATATTATAACGCTTGATCTCATTTCACAGCATGAATGTTTTATTTAAGAAAACTTTAATGAAAATTATTTCGAGCAAGAAAACTATAATGAATCGAATAGTTTATGTGCAGAAAAGAAAGAACGTAAGTATAGAGGTTAAGTTTAGAAGTTTAGAAAAACTGTATTGTATTTTAATTTTTTGTGTTTAGTATTAGTTTTGAAATTATAAATTTATATAAATTTTCTCTAAATTTACTCTTTCCAATTCTATATAAATTTTGTTTGCTTTCTTAATGAGAAAAAATATATGTTTTACAGCTGCTATTTGGAATCAAAATGCCACATTAGCTCTTCTCAGTTTATACGAAACAAAAATAGATATGCTAGACCACCCCAAAAAGAAGGGCAAAATATGGGAAGCTATATCTACTGCTCTGCAAAAAGATTTTGGTATTCAGATATGAAAAATTTGTGAACATAAAAGTTTCATAAATTCGATACTTTATATATTCAACAATATATTATAAGACCACAATATATAATATTATTAAACTGCTTGATAATTGAATTGTAATGTTACTCCTTTACTTCTGTTAGGATTGCATTTTAAGACTGAAAATTAATTTTGACGCACAGTTTGCAAGATTGCATACGTAATATATTATAAATTCATTACATTCACACAAAATTATTTAAAGTACTAAGATTTTGTTCGACCATACTAGACTTTCATTTTCTATTTTATTTTCATTATAAAGTCTATATACATAATAGTTATCTTTTTATTTCAGATGTCTGTAGATCAAGTCCGTTGGAAAATAAATTCGTTAATGAAAAAGTATAAGGGATATGTGGATAACAATTCAAAATCAGGAAGAAGCCTAATGACGTTCAAATGGTTCAATCAGATGGATGAGATCTTTAATAAAGGAAAAGATGCTACTGTAAATCATGTTTTCTCATCTAAATGTACGAATGCAAAGCCTTTAACTTCATCTACGAAAGAAGTTCACTCCAAGTCTTCGACCTCAACATTATCCTTGCAATACTTCTGATACTAAAAGTTCTTGTTTTGACAATTCAAATGTTTCTAAGTCTATTGGTTCTATGTTAAATACAAAAAGCCAAAATAAATATTTACCGCGTGGAACCAACTCTAATATAGCAAGGGATAAAGTTACATTGGAAAATCAATGGTTAGAATATGTAAAGATGAAGATTGAACATGACAAAGCCTGTGATGAAAGACATGTATCTACCTCAGAACATAGGGAAGAAGTATTGAAGATGAAAAAAAAGTATTATGCTGCGAAAGAAGAAGAAATGAAGCAACGAAAACAATATTTAATGACAAAGTTACAAGAAAAAGCAAAGAGACACACAGAAATTGTAGCAATTGAGGAAAAAAAGTATAAACTATTAAAAAAGACGTTAAAGTTAATTCATCAGATTCCGACTAATTAAAATACTTGCATTTTACAATCTTATTATTAATAAAAATCATAAGATATTTTATTTTTTTATGTATAAACTATGACTTTATAATTCCTAACTTCAAAATGATTATTAAATATGATTATTTTGTTTCTATAAATTTTTGTTATTTTATTGCATATATTTTTTATATTAACTACTTATGTGCATGGGGTGGCACCCAGTTGGACACGAGCTACTCACAGCACTTGAGACTACAAAGCTCCTAAGCACCGGTCGCTGTGATTGGGGGTCTCCAATCGAGACGTGGTCAATCGGGATCACCCCATGTGCATGTACAAGTTTAAAAGAAAAATAAATATTACACATTTTATTTTCATAATGAGATTATGTTTATTTTTAATAAAACTTACATATCTTATGATGCAAACAATTATTCACACACATACACAAATGATATAATCATTTAATATAATTAATAAAACATATTTTTAATGCATAAAATAAATGCGGTTTTAATTCTACAAATATTGTGTTCTTATAAATTTTACTTTTATTTCACAATTTGTTCTAACACTACATCAATTCTTTAACTTTATATTCATAAAGAAACCTATTAATTTTTATTCCTATTTGTATTCCACAACTTTTTCATTCCTTACGCTTCTAAAATATAACTAAATATTTGATTTAGCTTCCGGAGTTAGCATCCTTTATGGATTTTGTTTCCGAACTGAAATATTTATGAAATATAGATCTATGAAGAATGCTGCACTAAATTCAGAAGAAAAATAATACTTATACTTATAACACTATACTTATACTTATGATTATACTTTTTGAGAGATTTATGTAATATTATATATTGTATATTTAAGAAAATATCTCATAGAATAATTGCATCCTACGATCTCTTTGCATTTCATTATGGAAAATATTATCTTCATTATAATTATTTACGTTTAAATAAACATCATTATATTCAGGAAAATCATATATGTCATGCTTTTTAATACAGTAATTATATATTATACAAGCTGCAACTACTGAATTAGTTACGAAAGTTAGATCACGATATTCAGTGACGAAATCGTCCCTTTAACTGTCCAAACGCTTTTTCAATTCTTATTCTCGTAGATGAATGCATAAAATTGAAATCTGTTTGTTGAGGTGTTAAACGTCTATTATCACGAAAAGGTGGTACAGGGCAGGGACGGATATGCTGAATCGCCTAATAAAAATATTTTACCAGGAGATAACATTCTTTTATCTGTTGTGGCTGCTTCATATAGAAGTGATCTTCTAAAAACATGAGCGTCATGAAGAGAACCTGGGTCCACAATATATATTTCTAAAACACATATTGGCATCAACAACAGCCTGTAAATTAATAGAGAAATACTTTTTGCGGTTGCAATAACTGCGTGCATTAATTGCAGGTTTTATAATTTGAATATGAGTAGAATCAATCGCTCCCAAAACATTATTAATTCCTTGTATTTCGCTGAATTGTTCACATATCATTCTAACTTCATGTTCTTGTGGCCAATTAATAACTTCATCTGCTTTTGTTAGTAACCAAGCTATGACTCGCCGAAGAACTCAAAAAACAGAAGAAATTGAAATATTAAATCGATCAGACATAGTTCGCAGAGGCTCTGCGTATTTGCAATATACCATAAGAAAAGTAAAAAGCTAAGTTTAGCTGATATTGGCTTTCTACCAAATGTATGTGATGGAATAAATGTAGATGCCTCTAACTCCTCAATCAACATTAAGACAGTTTTTTAATCAATAATGTTCTTGAAATTCGGTATCAGTCAAGGAATCTACAACTTGAAGATAATTTTCAATGCGATGTCTTTTTTGACCATGTATTAAATGATGCAGATTAAAGGGAATAATAATACGTCCTCTTGTTGTTCTTCAGAATTTGGTGTTGTATCGTCTGTACTGGTATCTAATATGCTTAAATCATCATTCGAACTAGTGCTTCTTTGATACTGCGTTTTCATTAAATTGTAAACAATACTTGGACAGTCCATCTATTAAAATTTTTTTACAAGTTTTCGTTAATATTTTATAAGAATATACATTAATTACACAATCATTTATAATAATAATAATAATTAATAAGAGAATTATAAGTGTGAACTTACTATTAAAACAGAAATTCTTTCTTTTCTTTTAAAATTGCGAGTATTTGGCTAGGCTAGGTTAGGTAACTGTGGAAAACTGGAAAATGAAAATTATGATTAAGGCCCTGCGCACAATGGAGGAAATATTAGGAACAGAAATAGATATTAAGATTTCAACCTATCAGAAACCGTCTATTTCGATGCAACTGGTATCTGATAGGTTAAAATTTTAATATCTATTCCTGTTCCTAATATTTCCTCCATTGTGCGCAGGGCCTAAATTATACGAAGATGAAATTATACGACAATAATTACATTTAGAAAATATAACATTTACACAATGATTAATATCTATTATATATGTAATCAATTAATGTTGATTCAGAAAAATCAATATAAAATCAATTCGACGCCTTCGTTTCGTTAAATCAGGGGGCTGAAACCATAGACTTATATAAAGACTTTATAAGTCTAT